AATAAAGGCAGCAGCTGTCATAACTAAAAGGCCTTAGCGTAAGCAAAAAAAAAAAATAATAATAATTTCTTTTTTTCCAAAAATGATTTCTAAAAAATCAAAAATTATTTCTAAAAGCAAATCATCATCCTATCTGCAGCACTACTCATCTGACAATCTCCAGGCTGATGCTCAATAATCCCAATTTCTAACTTGAACCAAATAATCTCATTAATCCCAATTCCAATCCTGACTAGTATCTTCAGATTAACAGATGTCTCAATCTGTACAGACATCTCAACCTGTACAGACATCTCAACCTGTAGTGTATAGTATTCAACAAAATTCCATAATTATTTCTGGTATTATTTATAAAAATTTAAATATAACAGAATAAAGCTTTCAGTAACTATATAGCTACTACATCATAACAATATCATTATGATGTAGTTGCTATGTAGTTACTAAAAGCATGAATATAGATTTAGGTTAATTAATATTTTTTTTAAGACCTTAATACAGTATTAAATTATTTGGAATACCATATTTGCAATGATCACTTTACAACTTTTGCAGTTCTATGAAATAAATTTAGTTTCCTAACAAATGATCTAGTTAATAATAGCATAAATGTTATAATAAACATCCTTTTTCCAAATACTTTAAGATGATCATGATTATGATCTTTAATTTCAACTATACCAAAAAATTTTTACTTCAATAATATTATCAATTGGTCAGATTCACCACTATGTCCTCTTGAGCCTAGAGATAACTATAAGATAAAAATGCTCAAGGATGAATTAAACCTTCCTCTAACTTATTTTGATAATAGGAATTTTTTATTTGTTTCATGTCATGCTCATAATGTATCTGATATGTTTATCTCTAAGTCTAGAAGAACTATGCCATTTCTGCAACTTTGTAATCATTATTTAACCTATAATTTATAGTTATAGTTCAATTAATTTTATTGCTAGTGTCTAGACTTAAATGATTTAAAGATTTTTCATTGTTTAAACAATGAAAAATCCCTGAAATCACATGAAGCTATTTATGGTTAATGCTATTTTAAATAATGAATTATTACTAAATATAGTAGTATTTTATATTATCATTATTCAGGAGTTCCTGAAATGGATTAATGAACTTTTTAGAAATGAAATGCATGCATTGTTCATCTGTTGTAGGAATCTTGATGACACTAAAGCAAATAAAATAATTAAAAAATTCCTAAAAATTTTGGTTCTAGAAATAGGAAAATGAAATTTTGATAATGCAGCATCAAAATTTTATTCCATCTTTATTGAGTAGTAGCACATTCTTTGGAGTAGAATTAATCATTTATTTGAAAAATTGCAAAGAAGAGTGAAAAGGTAAAGTAGTTATTAATTATTGTTGTTAATATTTTTTATACTAAATTTAGTATTTTTTATTATTTAGTAATGATATCGATAAACTTTTTGCTAAAATAACTGCATATGATGTTCAAAAAATATAGAAACAGTTTCTTGTTAATATTAATATTTCTGCAATTCATAAGGACTCTAACGACTCAAATAATTTTGAAAAATTACTTTTAGATGTAATATGTGTTAGTGTATGGGCATTAAGTTTTTATGATCCAAAAAATGCTCAAGTGGTGTTTTTTAATTTAAATAATGACCTATATATAGTTAATTTGAATGTTTTAACTGTTAGTGGTTGGAGCCTTGCAACACTATCAATTTAAGTTAATACAATTTTATTATTCAAAGAAGTGCTGATATTAAGTTTAAATAAATTTTGCTTTTTTCATGCTTTTTTTGTTTAATTTTTAATTGTTTTTTGATGTTTCCTATTGCAACTTTTAGTCATTATTATTTTGTAATAAAGAAATATTTGTTATGCAGTATTTTTAAATTCTGTTATTATTAATTGATGCAAGTTATTTTTTTAATTGCATCCAGAAAATGTATACCAGGTAGGGTTTAGATAATAGCCCAGATAGTAGTCCAAATGATCATTTAAAAAATTAAGCAACTTCGATTAATATAGTCAAAAAAAGATACATATATATATTACTAACTCTGAATACAACTTGTTTCAATTCAATAAACCAATATTTCATATGCTTTACAACATCTATACAATTTTACAGGCTTCTTCAACATTCTAAAAACAATTTTTTTTAATGTTAAATTAGCTTTTTTTTTTTAATATTTTTGACAAAATTAAGTGAATGAGTTTTAACTTAAATATTGAGTGTTTTTATTTCTGGTCTTTTTTGCTAAAAATGTAACATTTCACTTCTTTAAAAATGACTTTAATCTTTTTAACTAAATAAGTTCTAGTCAAAAGCATCTTATTGTTGATTTTTCTTGAAAACTTGTGAACTCACTTTAAAGAATCTATCTTCATTAATATTAATATTTGCAAATTATTAGTTTTTCAATATGACTTTAGATTTTAATAGCTCTCAATACTTATGGACTAGTAGAAGTATTTATTAAGATAGGTAAATAGATTCATATATCTAATAGTTTGTTTAGGTTCTAATTTATATTGTAGCTTTAAAAATAAATGCCAGAAATATTTTATTAGTTAATATCTGGCTTGGTGTTTAGCATTTTTGTGGTCTTTTTCTCATTTTGAAAAGGATTTTTTCTGCTGATTTGGTTGGAGTAGTATTTTTAAAGAGTTTTGGCAGTTCTTTTGATTCCTTTTTGGTTAATGATTAGTCTAATCTTTGAATTTTGATTTGGTTTTTAATTGTAGCAATTTTTTGATCAGTTTGTTGTTTCTTAACTTGCAATTCTACAGCTATTATACATATTATATTTAATTAAAAATATTTAAATTTATATAAGATATATATAATTTACTAATAAAACTTGAGTATAATGACTTTTTTTTCTACAAGAGCAAGTTTTAGTAGTATTCTTGAGTTAGCTTTCTTGTGGTAAGTATTCTTGAGTTAGGTGTTCTTGCATAGTATAAATTGTACAATTTGGAAGTTAAATAGTATAAATTTGCCCCTAGTATAGTATGAATTGAATGTGTAATCTTTGCTTGATAACCTTTTTAATATATTAAGAAATTCATTGTAACATTCTTTATTCATCAAACTTCATTTGTTTTTCTTTGATTTGGGTATGTTTTTAATATTCAGTTAAAGTTCTTATAGGTCTAAAAAATAAATTTATGAATTTATTAATAGAAAGAAAATAAATATATAAAACTATATAATGTTATAAGAATTTTTTTAATCATGAAAATTAAAAATAACAAGTTTCAATTAATAATTAATATAAATTAAGAAATAATAGATAACATATTGACTAAAAATTGTAATAGAATCTTAACCAAACCATCATGTTATTATTTATAATTAAAATTTTAATTTTAATATAGTAAAATGTTTAAATTTACCAATGTTCTAATGCTAACACTAATTTTTATTTAATGATTAATTTACCTTAACATTAATAATATTAGATTTATAATAAATTTAAAATTTGTGATAAGATAAATATAAAACTATTATTACATCAATTAAGCAAGTATTACAAATAGATTAGCCTATTAATTAATAGTAAGTTTGCTTGCAATATTTAGTCTGCTTCTTGAAGGTACATGCATATTTTTTGTAATATTATCCAAGTTTTTAACTTTAGCAATATTTTTTTCTCTTCAGTGAATATGAAACATTTCATAAACAAAAGTTGTCAATTTCCCTAGTAATTCACACTTTCAAAGTTTAGCTTAGTTTGTTCCTAAAATGTACTACTTTAGGAGATCATTAACTACTTTTTTATTAATATAGTTTTTTAGATCTTTATTTGTTAATAAAAATGGTGTTTACCTTTCCTATAAGTTAAGTATGTTAATATAAATTTAAGGTTACTATTAAATTATATTTTTTTTATACCTTTCTTGTATATTTTTAAGGTTACTAACAAGTATTAGTACTAATTGATTTAGTTTATAATAAAAATCATTTAGAGCTTTCCTTGTTTTGAATTGAATATTCTTTCCTTCATTAGAATATGAAAAGTATCCAAAGATCTTTTTGACAAATTCATTAATGCATATTAATGACAGATTTCTTATTTGAAGAAAAAGACATTTGATTTCTTTATCTTATAAATGCATATTATTCTATGTAAATATATATATATAATTGTGTTTTATAAATTATGATAATTATAAGTACAAAAAACAATTTAAAAAAAGAAATACAAGATTAAAAGAGATGTCAAAAGAGTGAAAAAAAATATATAAACTATGAGAAAACATTAAAGAGAAATAATACACAAAAGTTAAAAAAAAAATTAAAAAAAAAGAATAAGAAGAAATATTAAGAAAACTGAAAACAAAAACAGCTTCAGGCATATCAGGTATAAGTTACATTCTAATAAAGTAAGCAGAAAAAAAAACACAAGAAGTATTTAGAAGCTTTGCAAACTTATATTTAGAAGTAGAAAAGATATCAACTAAATAGAAGATAACATAAGTTTATCCAATACCTAAAGATATTGAATAGGAATATAATTTAAACAACATTTAATCAATAGCACTAATAGAAACATTTAGGAAAGTTGTAACATAGGTGGTAACAAGAAGGCTTGCCAAAGCATTTATAAAAAAATAAATACTTAAAGAACCAAACTATGCAGACCTTCTAGACAACTTAACAGAACAACTAGTACATGTTTTCAATATAATAATGGAAAAAGCAAAAGAAAAAGATAAAAAAATATAGATACTTTTGCAAGATATAAAAAATCATTTGACTTAGTTCTACTTGAGAGTCTAGAACTAGCATTGCAAAAGGTTAAAGTGCTTAAAAGAACAATGAAATATATTCTAGATCTGTTTTACAAAAAACAACTAAAAATTATCATAACATATGGCCTAACAAAAGAGATAACAGCAAGAGATAACATAAATCAAGAAGTAATATCTTTATTAATATGGTGACTTTTCTATAATCTACTGTTAAAAAGAATACAAAAAGATAAAAACTTAGGATATATAGTAGAACAATAGATCAAAAGAGAAATACAATATAGCAATATTATAAAGTACTGCCAAGCAGCTATTGCATATGCAAATAACACAACGTGAATTGCAAATAGTAAAAAACAACTAATAGAGATATTAAAAATGGCAAAAAAATTTTTTAAGATAAATAACATAAAGATAAATAGATTTAAATCAAAGCTGTTGATAATAAATATAAAAGCAAAAAAATAAGAAAAAGAAGTGATTTTTAGAAAAAGCAAAATAACAAAAAAAGCAAAAAACAAAATAGTTCACTCACTAGGAATATGGCTAAATAACAAAATAAGTAAAATGCTAGTAAAAAAGAAAGCAAAAGAAATAATTAGCCAAACAATAAGAGATCTTAAATACAAAAAAATGACAATAAATTAGATTGCATATATAAACAATATGGTAATAATACCAAAATTAAGTTATATGCTATAATTAACAAAAATGTTAGAAAGAAGTATAAGTGAAATACATTAACCAATAATAAGTTTAGTGAAGCAAAAGAGCAACCTACAAAGAATATTAGAAAACTGTATAATAGAATACAAAGATCTTAGAAGCTGCAGAACATTATAACAAGAATTAACAACAAAACAAATAAGTGACCTATTAGCAAGATTAAATAGAAAAGATAGTCTTAAACAGTTAACAAAATTAAGAATAACACAAGAATATCAGAAAGCAGATTTAACAAAAGATATATGAAAATAGAAGAAGTCAGAAAATATAAAAAATTAAAAAAGTAATTTAGCTTATCTAAAATTACTAAAAGCAAAAAAGCTTAATATAAATATAAAAACAAAAGGCAATTTATAAACAATGTTTAAATATAAAATTAAAATAAGAGAACTTATAGATACACAGTTATAGAAAAGAAGTAGTACTAAAATAAATAATGCAGGCTTAATATATCTAAGCCAGCTGATAGACACAAAAAAAGAAAAGTTAATTACATAGCAACAGCTAAAAAGTTATCAAGATTTGTCAAATAAAGAGAAAAAAGCAAAATAATTCAAAGTGATAGAACTAGAAATGCTTATTAAACCAAAAAACAAAGAAGTTAAAAGACAATTTAAAACAATCAAGCAAAATACTCAAGCAATGCAAATAAAATAAGAGTATATTTCAGAAAACAAAAAAAGAAAAGAATAAGTAGCATATAGTGCACAGAACAATTGACAGTTAGGAAAAATAGTTAAGAAGAAAAGAAAAAAAATACTAGTAGAACATTAGCAAATGCAGAGTAAAGAAAGTAAATTAGCTATTGAAATTAACAGATGTAAGAGTTGTATAAGAAAAGAAAAACATTAAGAAGATAGCTACCAGCAGTAAATAAAAATAAATAACAGAATTAATGTAATCTCAGATGTATTGATAAAAAAAGACGGCAACAAGATCAAGATAGCAATAGAACAAATAACAGAAATAATAAAAACAAACAAACCAGTAATAGGAAAGCAGAAATTTAAAGAACTAAGAATAATAGAAGAGTAGAAGTAAAGATAATTAGATAAAAAAGTTAAAAGACAGCATTAGTTAAGAAATAGTAGAAGTTTTAAGGATAAATATAACAAAAAACAAGAACAAATACATAATATACACAGATGAAGTAGCAAATCTGAAGACTAAAGAAGACACAAGAAGCAGAAATAGTATGGATATAAGATGAGTACAAACAGATGAAATACAAAAATGACTAAAAGAAGAGATAGCATTAGGTTTAAAAGAATAACAAACATTGACAATGGCTAAGTTAGTAGTAATATGAGCAACAATTTTAACAATACTAAGAGAAAAACAAATAAAAGTATATACAAATAGCAATATAGCAATAAGAAATATTAGTAGAGGTTTAGAACAAGTATGCAGAAATAAGATTTTCAAAAAAAAATGCAATATAGATAATGAAAATTAGAGAGCTTATTAAAACAAAGAACATTCAGATAGAGTTTATTAAAGTCAAGAATCACAATAAAGATAGATAGAATGATAAAGCTGATAGTTTAGCAAAAAAAAGTGCAACAAATAAAGAGATAATACAGACTGAAAAAGTCAGTTGTAAAGAGATAAAGTATTGCCTAAAGTAGAAAAACAGATGTACTGACATACCAGCAAGACTGCTATGTAAATTGATAACAAATGCAAGTTTAAGAGCAAAATAGAAAGAAATAAAAGTAATTAGAGAATTAGAATCAGAAACAGAAGTTATGATTTATAATTAGACATACTTTTAAAAAAGACTAAAGATATCTAAAGAAGTATACTGCATAACAAAAAGAAATAGTACCAGAAGAAGCATATTTATAAAGTGTATAATAGATAAACTTCTAATTCTAGAAAAATTTAACAAAAGAAAACTTGAGATATATACAATAATGAAATGCCAAATATGCTAAGATAAAACAAAAGAAACATAGGCACACTTGGCAGCATATAAGAAACAAAGGAATCTTTAGAAAAGAATCTAAAAAGTGATTATCACAACAGTCTGGAAGAGGTTAAAGAAAAAAAAAAGTTTATGTCTCCTTATACATATTATACATAGCACTTTTTAGGAAAACAAAAGTAGAGAAAATTAAAATAAGAGAGGTACTAATTAAAGGTCTTATTTAAAAGAAACACAGGACAGATTGAGGCAGCTCCTAAGTACGAAATCAAAGTAGCAGTTTATAAATGTAATAGCAAGAATGGCCTGAAATACATTTTACAAACAAGTATAGAAAATCTGATGTGAGAAGATCAATAAATAAAAGAAAAATGAAAGAATAATAGATAGGATAAAAAGAAAAAAAGAAAAAGAAAAAAAACACCAAGTAAAAAAAGAGAAACCAAATCAGTAAGTAATAAAAGAAAAAGCAAAAGAAAAAGAAAAACAAATTAAAAAAAAATACAGAAAACAATTTTAAAGCTTGTTATAAAAAGAAGAAGACCTTTTTATTATAAACTTTAAGTAGTCAGATAAGCAGCTTACTCTGCTTAAAGTAATGCAGCAAGTTGCACTTAGGTATCATTAGGATGACTGAGTAATGCTGAGCTTATTTGTTAAGAATATTTATATAATTGCAAATATAATTTCAAAATTTTAATAAAGCACTAGCATGATTGCTTAAAAAAAAAAATACTTAATTTTTATGCAAAGTAATACAAAAGTTACATTTTTAATGCACTAAAACTATCATTATTGATGTATTAATAATAAAAATATCAAAAACATAACTTTGAATTTTCTGTCTGTTTTCATTTGCATATTTATATAATATAACAAATCTTATATAATTTTGCTCTAAACTTATAACAGTTTCTGTTTTTTAGTTAATAATTTTAGGTTAAGTAAGTTTAGATAAGGTTAACTAAAAATAGGTTTTAAAAATAAAAAGCAAAATTTTGTATAAGTTTTGAAATATTTTAATAATAAATTAGTTAGTTTTAGACTGTTTTTAATAAATTATATATTAAAATAAAACTAATAATAGGTTTTTTTTATTTTATTTTTTTTTAGTATTAAGGTAATTTTTTTGATCTTTTGACTTTTATTAATAACTTTTTTGGTAACATGATTTTATAAACTACTACAGAGAGAATAGTGACTTTAGTATAATAGTTAGATTGTTATTCTTAAAGCAGTAAATCTAATATTCAAATTCTATCAGTAGCAAAATATTAAAAAATAGTTATATTTTGGCAAACTTATCTGTGATTTGAAGTTTGTAGATTCTATAATTCTGGTTATACTAAGACTAACTTTGGAAATGTGCAATGTTATATGAATAAATTTGAAATGTATATATTTAGATAAAAAGCCTGCTTAGAAATCCTAAATAGAAAGATAGTACAACTTTTAATAGTACTATCTGTAAAGATCTTGATCTGAAAAAGAAAACCTAAAGCAGATGACCTGTATAGGCAAAAAC